CCTACAAATAAACAAATTATCGAGGTATATACATAAACTAGCTCAGAAAAACTCAACCAACAATGACCTCATACTAACTAGTCCTTAATATAAGAACTAATTGACTAATTTAAATAGATTAAAAAAATTATATAAGTTAGTGATTTTGTAATAAACATGTAATATCTTTCCCAAAAATGATATTAATTAACTCTGTATATGTTTTGAGAAATAAGTAATATTGATATATTAACAATATATTTAAATATTTTCTCCACCGATGACGATGACGACTCCAAACAAAACTCTTTATTACGTCAAAGATATGCCATACTGTTTTTATTCTCATTTAGCTCTCAAATTGCGACAATTCGTATGCTCGTCAACATGCTTAAATATGCAACTTTGCTTCATCGCCTGTCAATTATCCAGTTGATAAAATTACATTTAAGTCCCCAGATTTTTTCCCCCCCAAAAAGGGATTATGTTGATTTTTCATTAAACTTCTAATTATACTTTTTTAAAATTACTAATACATCTCAAATGAATTATTAAATTAATCAATCAATCCATATAAAGTTTGATAGAACTTTGGTACCGAAAAATGACTATAATGTTTAAATCCAGTTGCTTCAAATTTTTGTTATCAAAGTTTTTAAATATATTTTGTCCAATTTACGAGAATAAAATCCAGACATAGCCCTTGGCCCTTTAAAAAAAAAAAAACAGACGCAGCCATAGGCACCGTAATTTTAGAAAGAAGTATACATAATTCCAAATTTCATGGTCAAAATATTCCACAAAAGATATTCAAATTCAAAAATATTATTTATAAATGAAATTTTAAACCATCACCAAAAGTATAATGTTTCTTAACATTTTGGTCATTTCGTTGTTCTTAACTAAGAGATTTTAATTAAAATTAACTAGTGTGGCCGTGTGGGTTTTATGCAACTGGCCTAAAAAAGTAATAAAAATTTAAAAAATATCACGGCATCATTTTTTTAAAAATAAGATAATAAAGAGAAGAGGATCAAAGTGCAATAAATGTGGATGTATGCCTACAATTTTGGCACTGAAAAGAATGGAGATATTGCGCAATTAGATTCAAATGTTGCAGAAAAAATATGAAAATAAATTAGAAAATCGATTGTTTCCCCTTCAAGAAACACCAACTTCACATCGTAATATTTAATCTTAGATTTATTGAAGTGACAAAGATATATACATTAATTTTTTCTTTTGAGTGCTATGGAAGGCAATTAAATCCCCATCGTTGTTTTGGTTTTAAATTCGTTGATAGAGTTCCTAATAAATTAAAGCATGGATCACGTTCAGCCATTTGATGCTGTTTAGTTAGTCAATTACTAATTAGCTGGATCAGACCATTATGCACCTTCTATGGTACTCTACTTTTAATTTCCTTCCTCGATTTAATAAACTAAATTAATACAACTAAATGTATAAGTCTGAATTTATTACTAACATTATAATACATACTTGAATCGGTTTTATCTAGTTAGGTCACTATGACATCGATGATAAATATAAAAGCTATTTGAGATATTTGTTTTAAACTTAAACATGAGTTTTTTCAACTTATTTTATCTCCCAAATATATATATATGTGTGTGTATGCGCGTGTTAAATTATCCATATATTGATTACACATATTGAAAAGGTTTCCAATCAATGGAAATAATTTCAGTGCAAATGATTTAAAAGAGTATTGTGTAAAAATCAACATGGGTTTTTTTAATAAATAACTAATTCAACTAATTTTTTTAATTTTTATGAATTAATTATTTAGATCTTGTATTTAGAATTAGAAAAAGTATATTTTTCTCATTTTGCTCTTATTCAATGTTGGCTTATGTTTCCAAAATGTAACTATTTGATTTAGGTTAGACCATAAAACACTCTTTGACTTCCCGGAGATGAGTTTAATGAAGATAAAGTAGCAACGTTTGTTAAATTTTTGACGAAATTAATGGGTAAACCCCTCCTTAATTTTGGTGAAAATGTTAGAAATGGCTTGGAAAAAAAATGAAAAGGAAATATATTTCCTTTTCTGCGTCTTTATTAATTGTCAAAGCATCGATATAAATTATCAAAAAATTATATCATAATTTCCGAACCATAAGAACAAAATTTAGAAACTGATTTAACCTTGAAACACCAACATAATAAGCCTAGCTCTAGTTTGGTTGAAGGAATAAATTATGTGGGACATTGCATTAATAATTGAATTGGCTTTGGTAGTTTCAAGTAAATTAGGTTAGTTTTGATGAACATGAGCAGTGGTCTCAAATAAAGTAAACGCGAGTTAAGAAGTGATTTTATTTTCATGCTTTAATCCAATTTGTCTCCCCCTTTCGAACTATTCTTTTGGTTATATTTATAAGGCATTTCTAGCTTGTTTCATACAAACCAAAAAAAATTTTAAAATATATGAACTCTCTATTAAAATATAACAATTTTTTACTTTTATCCCTATTTAATATAAACAATTTTTAAAAAAATAACTATCTACATTGTAATAAATGAAGGTAAAATAGTACATTTATGCTAAAAATTTAATGAAGTAACTTATAGATAGGACTAAAAAAATTTTTTTCTTTCTGTCTTATAAATAGGACGAGAGAAGTATCTTTCTTTCCTCTTTTACACCTTTGTTTGGTATGTAAAATGAAAAATAATACTCATGCTATTAAGTAAAATGATAATTTGAGCATTTCGTTCGTATTTAATTTTGCATGTAATTGAAACAACAAAGTACAAAATAAAAATAATCTTTTAAATATATTTTGTCACAAAAACAAGTCAGATTTTTATATGATCTTTGAATGATCTGAAATATACAAGGATTATACTATTTTGTACAAGTGAGAAAGGAAAGTGCCCTCATGTCCAAAAGAGGCACTAAAATATGGGTTAGAGTTCAAAGAAATCCAGATTTTTCTTCCCTTTTTGTTGTTGAAGAGTCTTTTTCACAGTTAAATTTCAAGTTGCTGATATATTTTTCACAGTCACATACATTAACATAACTTTTTTTTTTGGGGTCAAATTTAACAATCACAAGCTTAAAATGCTCTTTTATTTTCTTTTCTTTCCCCACTTCAATTCACTCATTGAATTACAAGTTACAACTAAAAGAAATATTGTACGACTTTTATATAAAAATCGCTTCCAAAGGGAAACAATACCAAGTTCATCCTATAATTTTAAGAGACTGATATATCTAAATGCCCATTTGAACTGAAATTGAGCATTTTTTTTTTGTCCACTCCCAATTCACATAGACAAGTTTCTTTAGAAATGAACAATAATTGGTTAAATGATTAGAAACTTAACACACAGTCCTTAAATAAGGTATTGAGTTTTAACTATGTAAATTAATAAAAAAAATTAAACTTTTGGACCAAAAAAAAACTAAGATGGGGAGCCTTTCCCCAATAATCAGTGGAAGCATAACATAACTTAGGCATGAAATAGTCGTCATATCAAGTAAATAATAACTATCAAAAAGATTAAGTTTGATAAAAAGAGTTAGATCTTTCATAACATGACGAATCAATGTTTGAATTTTTATTAATAGAATTGCTCATATAATTAATAACTAACTATACTTAGAATATGATTACTTCTAATAAGAGAATATACATATAAATAATAAAAAATAATGAATAATTTATATAAAAAGAAAATAAATCAGGAATAAATAAAAGAACACTATTTTGGTTTAATGTTTGAGAGGATATAATGATTAAAAATTGTCAAAAAATAACCAATTGAATGGGTTGATGGGTATGGATTTCACTCGGGTAAGAGGCTAGATGCACAATAAATGCGTAAAAAGGCCCATAGAGGCAAGTCTGGAGCAGCGTTTGTCCCTCTCCATGTGATTATTACTTCCTTCCCAATCCTCAATTCAATCATCCTCCCCATATATTCATTTATTTATTTTTATTTTTTATTATTATTATTATTTAATTAAGACTGTCCTTTCTCTTCGTTCATCCTCTTCCTCATGTCTTGTCTTTTTCTTTTCTCATTTTCCTATTCTGTCCCTCTCCCCTCCTCCCCTCCCCTCCTCATTCAACACATCAACTTCTAAGGTTTAATGTAAATTACCCTAATAAATAATCTTTATAAAAATACTTATAGATTATTGTATATCAATGAGATTCTTACATTGGTACCATGAGATTACAATCCGTATACCCTTCTCATGTATGTGTTAAATCCTTGCTAACTGGATTAATCTTAATTAGTAAACGTATATACTTGTTAATTCCAACTATTATTTTATTGTAACTCCCTCATTTTGTTATGTGGTTTTATTTTGACTGCTTAAAAAAGTCCAAATCAAATAAAAGTAATTTTTTAAAATTTTTTTTAATAGGCATATATTCTCTCTTCTTTTCTCTCAGTACACTTGAACTACTTTTGTACTTAAAGAAAACATAAAATGATATGGCACTTTAAAAATATACAGTTGTTTACTAAATAAAAAAAAACTTAAGTACAATCTTTTGCTGAGATAAAAAGCTCACATGCCACTATGAAGATGCTCGAATTTAACATATTAATATTATAAATATAAGGGAGAATTACAATGAGATCTCATACAAGAAAAAAATTATAAAACAAGTCTCAGAGGTTGTTATTCTCCACTCTAGAATTTGTTATTATAGGTTGTTTAGGTCGTTATTAGACCTTTTAATAGTTATTTCTCTTGTATGGGATTCGATTGTAATTCTCTCTAAATATAAATCATACGGTTTTATATTTTAAAAAAAAATCAAGGGCATTACTTTCTAAAATTTCTGGGTCAATTTCATAACAAGACATTAATTTGGGGACGAAATTGCAATTTGCTCTTATTGGTTCTATCGAATATTTATTTGAAAATGAAGAGAAAACGTAACATAGAATTTATGGAGTGGTGTTTGTGCATATATAAATTGTACATACAAACACCAAATAGAACAAAAATAAAACTCAAACCTTCTTCTTTCTCTTTCCCTTTTCTTCCTCGCACAACCTTCCATGGATTCTTCTGCAACTCTCACTACTCATCACCATCATCCCAATCCTCTCCCAGAACAGCAAAACTCCGCCAGAAAACACCACCCCCTGCCGCCGCCGCCATCTTCTCGCCGGACTCCGTCGTTCTCCTCCTCGTCCTCCTCCTTCTCACCATACAACTCATCTTCCTCCCTCGAATCCGTGCTCTACTTCGCCGGCGACGACGACGACCCTGGCCCTTATTCTCCTCTCAGATTCTCCGGCGGCGTCCCATTCTCCTGGGAACATCTTCCAGGAATTCCCAAGAAACAACCATGTTTCAAGAAGAAGCTTATTCATCAGGAATCTTCCATGAAACTCCTCCCATTGCCTCCTCCAACTAATAACAGCACCACCGGCATTACTACGAGCTCTTACAATTACAGCAAGAAGAACTCTCTTCAGAGTATCTTTCAGGGAGATCCCTTTTTGGCAGCCATGGTTGAATGCTCGAAGGGCGATGATCATGATCAGGAAGAAAAAGATGAACTCAGTAGCAGAAACAAAGCCTTCCGGAACAGTAACAATACTGGAAGAAGGTCAAGAGGAGGATCTAATAACAACAACAATAAAGTTTCCAGAAGTATCAGTGATCGTTTCGGATTCGTCAATCTTTATTCATCATGCAAAAATGCTTCTGCGATTTCTGAGTCTTTAATCTACCTTCCAAGCTCATCAAGGAGATCAAGAAGCAATTACCAGCATTTTAGTGCTCGTCGCAGGTCTCTCTGAGCTTAATAATGAATTTCCTTTTACTTCAGTTCATGTATAAAACATAAAAATGGATAATTAGTAAGTATGTTAGATATATATATCAATATAATCTAGCATACTTACGTGTTGTTAATTAGTTATATATATAAATATATATATATATATATCAATTTATGAGTTTGTTGCATTGTGGTCACGGGAGAATCAAAATGGGAGGAATCTGATTGTTTTCTTTCGCTGAATGAACTCAGTTTCTTGTTTTCTAGTTCCCAAGTTAGAATATGGTATGTGAAGACAAGTTATGTCTTTGGAAACTTCAAGTCATTATTCAAATATGTTAATACATGCATAGGAAGCTTGTCTGCTTCTGTTCAGAGATCCCTGATCACTCACTGATGTACTTATATATACATATATATTGTTATAGATGTATACACACAAATTATATATATTGTTTTCATCATTGATATAAGAGGTGGATAACCTAACTAATGAAAAAAATGGCAAAACAAAAAAAAAACCCTAAAAATTTAAAAATTGCCTAATGAGACTCTTTTATAAAAATTGTTGTCATTTGCTTATCAAATGTTGTTAAAACCCATACTAATATTGTAATTGGTGCCTATTTATAATTTTTCTATTTCTAAGTTTTTTCTTGTGATTTTTCCTAAACTAATTTACCGATATTAAAAAATTAATTATATTAATTATTCATAATAAATATGTATTTGTTTCCTAAACTATCATTTTTTTAATTATATATATATTGAAATTGCCCAAAACTCCAGTAACATGTAGATTCAATAAGTTCCATATCCCATGTGGGAAGAGTGGAGAGGACCACAGGGAGGGAGTGAGGGGATGGTATGAATTATTGATTTGACTTTTCTAACTTTTATATTGTGGTGCGTGCTGCTGATGATATTGATAAAGTTGTTGAGCTACCTTTTTATTTATTTTTGTCATATATATACACACAAAACTCTAAGATATTTTTATACGCCCTTATTTACTCGGTATTTAATGTTTCAATTCAAGTTTGTTAAGCCTTTGTAATTTTTCATTTAAGGTTTTAAATTTTGCAAAAATATCTTCTTCTTCTTTTTTTCCACAATATGACCATCTAAGTTAAATTCAATTATTGCCTGACCCAATTGGGTTTTACATTTGTGCAAACTGGAATTTAACACTTATGGGTAATTTTGCAAAAATATCTTAATTATCCATACAAAATACTGAATTTTTAATGGGACTGTATTAGAACAAAAAATAAAATTTGGAAAAAAAACTCGCCATAAATTGATTGAGATAAAAAAATTTCCATCTTACAAATCCAGTAGGTCTTAATTTCTGTCATGAGGAATGTTTAAATTAAATTCGTCACTGTCATAATTGAGAGATAGAGCGATAAAAAATTTAAAAAAAAATTATCGAGGATCTAAAGTTTAAAGAATCTATTAGGCCAAGTGGATCCCTCAAGTTGGGTGAATTCTTAAATGCAAAAGTTGACGTTAGCCAAAAAAGAATTTAATGAGGTTTTCTAAGCTATGTGTTTAGAAGTTTAATTATATTTATTGGTTAAAATTACTGTAATTAACATCCACGTCCGTGCTTAGAAAACAGTGATCATTGTTCTTCGTTTGGATTATTATGCCATGCTCCTTAAAACGTACTCATTTGACGCCCAAGCTCCACGTGGGTCTTAAATGCGTTCTCAGACCTACAAAAATAAAGTTGAAGAGTCAACAAACTGTTAATTTTTGTGTTGAAATTTACATACTATATGAGTAATACCTTCTTTTTTTTTAGCATATCAATTTTAAGGAGTGTTTGGAAAACACCATAAGTGCTTTTTAAAAGCACTTTTCTGTAAATTGAGATAAACTTCTCTACATATTTACTTCATATACCGTAAAATCACTTCTAAAACTATGATTTGATTTCTATCCAAACACTCTTTTAATCAACCAGTTCTTTAATATAGGATAAGGTGGCAATTTATTCCAGAAATTTTTACTCAAGAGCGCTTAGGAAGTTCTTTTGATTTAAATTTGTTTTAAAAGTTTAAAATCATAACAATGTTGTCCGTATCATTAAAAATATTAACGATCACTGTTTTAATGATCAACATTAGTTTTTTAATTGTAGAGGATAACATATTAATATTATTATGATTTTAAACTTTTAAGGTAAATTTGCATTTGAGAGTGACACTTTTGAGTAAAAACTTTCTAAACAGATTTGCATCTGAAACCTTTAATCTACATAACTTGATTATTTATATTTTATAAAAAGGACTGAATAGAGTATTATTTAATTATAAAACAAGAACTTCATTTTTTGCCAACTAATTACAAATAGGAAGTTCAAATTAGTATCTTAAAATAATTTAAAATTAGCCGGTGAATTGAAAATGCATATTTGATATCTTGAATCGATATTATACAATGATAAGAAATTTGTATCTAACACAACTTGTTCTTTCTTTCTTTCTTTGTTTTTTTCACTTGATCTTATGTTTGAAACACGGTTATTTGATTTGGATAAAGAATATAAAAGACAGAGAGATACGAATCTGGAGACTTTTTTCAAGGAGAAACTCACACACACTAACAATAATGAACAGAGACAGTCTTAGAACTGAAGATATGGAGAAATGGTCCATATAATATCCACACATTCAATGCACTTGTTTTCCCTGCAGATTCCATTCCCCCTTCTCCACATTATTTCTTTTTATTCTCTTCCCAATCATATCATGCATTTTTTTTCTCTCAACCCAACAAAAAATAAAATCACATTTATCTGTTTAAATTATATTTTCTATTCAAAGAGATAGATATTAACTATCTGAGATTACAAGGTGGATTGGATTAAACCCCGGGACTTTAATTGTGCTGAAAAGGGAATGATGAAAGCTGTATGGGAGGCATCTCATGGGTTATCATTACCTATGATCAAAAAGACTAAAAGAAAGTGGATTTTTTTTTCAAAAAAATAAAAATGTTTTTAATTAAGTCAATAAATAGCACTTTAGTGGTAGGCTCCTTCGCTTTTTCTATTTATTCTTTTAAGAAAAATGTAATATTATTTTTGACAAGTGCAATTACAAGATGTGAATGGTGTGTGTGTGTGTGTTTTCTATAGGACAATGAGAGGATTTTTGTGGAAAGGATGTGATCTCATATGGTCAAATCTTTTATCTGCAGTAGTTTATCTGTTGAAGTGGAAAAATTAAATTTAAATCAATGGAAAACTTTTTATATTTGGAACTCTTTTTAAGACAATAAGTGTATGTAAAAAATATATTTATTTTTACAAAATACCTTTGTTTATATACAGATATGATAAAGAGGATAATTAATACTACGATGCAACATGTACGGTGTACCCAATTAATTTTAGAAAACCTTTAAGTTTATTTTATATATTAAGACCATGCCTACCCAAAAAACCATATCTTGTATATAAGGTTGAGGGAATATTATCTTTACAAACAACTAATATTATTTTTAAATTAAACCATTTATTTTTGTTGTGATTCCCAATTCCTATGGGCATGGGCAAATTTAATTAGGAGGAGCAGTAGCATTGCAATGAAAATTAGTCTTTTTTCTTGCCAAAATAAAAATTATTCTTTTGTTACCTTGAGCAGTGATAGTCCTAATAATCCCTTGGAAAAAAAAAATTGGGGATAATGTGTTTGTATATATACAGCAATAATTAACAAGCCTGATTTCATTAGGTGGGTTATATGAATTGATGGATGAATATATATATTTTTTAACAATATGAATAATAATAATAAAAAGGTCAATATGCGACAAAAATAGAGTAAGGAAAGGGTGAAAATGGGAGCAACATAATTGAGTGGGACAAAGTGAAATGCTCGTGCGTATGTTTGTTTCCTTGTTTTAATTTTCTAGAAATCCAAACAGCTTAATCACTTTTTGATTAAGCATCATATTGACAAGACCAAACCACTTACAACTTCTCATTTTAAGTTTTGTATATAAAAGTTTCAATTTTCCATCAAAGTATTAAATCACATATTTTTCATTTCTCTAACAATTGAGTTCAAATTAATTGTCTCCCAAATTTATCATTTTTCGCTCAGACTATTATTATTGTTTGCTTGTATTAATAATAGGAATAATTTTTAATAAAAATGATTTATAAACAGCTAACTTTACTCTCTTTTTTTTGTCTGCCAAAACTTTAATAATTTTGTTAAATTAACTATCTAATTCTTAAATTAATAAGAATCGGAGTAATAAATAATATTTGCGTGTGTACGGATTTATGATAGTTGTTAATTGCCTTTGCCTTATGGGGATGAACGTGGGGAGGGAAGGGGGACAAATATCATTAACCCTAATGTTCCATCCAAAGAACTTTTTTTTTTTTTTTTTTGTTTAGAACATTGGTGAAGATCCATTTTGTTTCCAACTAATAATACAATCAAGCATATAGCAGCATCATTATGTCTTGCCTTTTCCTTCTTCCCTTCATACTATTATATTCGCTTTGGTTCTAAAAAACTGGACTACATATGAAATTATCTGGTTGGGTCCTATTAGAATATTATTAATCCTAATTTACATGAGACTCAAACTTGAAACCTTGTGTTTAAGTAATCAAAGTTCTTTCTATTAATATTAAACACTTGCACAGTTGGTATTTTTAGTCTTTAATATAAGAACGGATTGACAATTCAATTTTACTTTAAATATAAAATCCCAGTCCACTTTATCCAGCATATTTATTTATTTTGCCCCCACGTAGCTCTTATGATGATTACATATGCTAAAGAGTTTCATCAATAGATAGTTCTAATACACACAATTGACAATGGTATTTTAAAAAAGATAATATTGGATTTATTTAGTATAAATAACTAACTTAATTAATTTTTTAATATTATTAAATTAGTAGGAATGAGAGATAGTAATATGTATGCATGTTTGTGTGTGTGTGTGTGTGTGTGTGTGTCTGTATATGTGTGTGTGCGGGCATATGAGTAGAAAGAAAGCGGAGTTGGTGAACGAGTGGGGAATGATGATACAGTGAGGGAGGCTACTTGAATGAGTTGGTCGAAAGTGAAGAAGTAGCTGTGCGTGCGTGAGGAAGAAACTCAGCAAATCAAAGTGCAGGAGACTATTATATTATATTTATAACAACAATAATTATTATATAAATAAATAGAGGTATTCAAATTCAAAATATATAATTATTATTATTATTGTGCTGGCTTCATCATTATCACTACCTTAGCTTTCTTCTTCTTTTGGTCATCAAAGTGGCATTATATTTTTTCCCCACGCCGACAGTTTCCTTCCACCTTAAATATTCCCTCCCCCCCTCTC